CGACATAGCCATTACGCTAACTGCTGGTTCCCGCACTGAAGCATTCTTCATACAATCATGATGTGTTAAAATTATTTAAAGGAGTATTTATCACACTCATTTGCTGAAAATAAGGAGTAACACGCATGTCATCTTTTCTATTTTTAAGAATTATTTAATGTTATTTATTTACTGATTTTAATTTGACCAGAGAGGGACAGAGTGAGAGAGAGGGAAAGTGAGAAAGTAAGTCAGCAGGTCTGGGACTAGAACCATGGTCAGCCATGTGGGAGTCCAACACCCTTAACCACCATGCCACCTGCTGGCCCCACCTGTGTCATCTTTTAAAAGGGATCTCAGTGAACACTTAGTGTTTCTCATTATTTTCCACCTCTTCTACTCAATGAAGTACCTCTTGTCCTTTGTTAGGTCAGGGGTCCATGATAACATCTGCTTAAAAATCTTGTACTAGTGCCCTATCCAAAACTGCACATATGTGCACATACTAATGTGTTCACTTTCGCTGCGATCTCAGGGGCTCACGGACTGCTGAAACTTACAGCTTCTAGGTTGAGAATCTTAGTCTCTCTGTATCCAGCAGACAAGTGCTATCTGAGCGTCATAGGAATTTGAGACCAGGGACTAGCAGTTGGCGTAATGGCTATGTCGTTGGACTCCCATGTAATCGACCGTGGTTCACTTCCCAGACCTGGTGGCTTAAAATGCACACCGGGCATGTGTGCATGCGTGCCCAAGATCCTGAGAGGAGAATGGAGGAGAAGGGACGGCGGCGTGGCCATCCCTCCTGGGGGGGGGGGGGGGATTTCTTGCTTTCTATCTCTCTGTCTCTCTCTGTCTGTCTGGAGAGTGAACGCGCCCTATAGCAAAAACCTCTCCAAAAGAAAAAAAAATAAAGAAATTTGAGACCCAATTCAATCACCTCTACATTATTGAGGGAAAGGAAGACAAGGCATGATGTGAATTTCCATGAAGAACTTTTATGGGAAAGATGTGGGGAGATTTAATAACAAAAAAATATTATCTATAGACTCTATAACATGATATGTAAACTTAAAGGACCAGTTTTCATTCGCATATATGACACAGAGTGAAAGCAGAGAAGATGTATTGACCCTTCTCCTTTCCCCATCCAATATAGCTGGTCCCTTGTGGGACAAATTTCTAAGGCAGTAGGCATTTGTTGAGGGTGACAATGTGCCAGACACTATTCTGGGCACGTGGGCTCAAAGAAAGATCTTGAAGATTCTTGCTCTCTAGGGAAGTTTGTACTCTAGAGAGGGGGTGGGAAAGGAATAGGAAAAAAAAAAAAACAAACAAAAAAAACAAACCCTCGCTAATAAAAGGAATCATGTGAGGTGTTAAAATAGACTTGTAGAAAAGCTCTGGAGAAAGCAGGTGGTACTAATTTTGCCTGGTGACAGAATTTGGAAAGAGCCATGAAGAATGGCAAGAAGAGGCAGGATCCAGGAAGGGTGGGCAGGTGGAGAAGCCTGCGTTGTCCCCCTTTGTAGTCACAGGAAAACAGAATTCCTGGGCCTCTCGCCCCGCCTCCACGGGTCTCATTGCCTGGGCTCCGCACCAGCTACTCTGAAAAGAGGAAAGGCCAAAGCGTGTGCAGTTTTGTCTCCAGTAATAAACAGCGGTGGTCACTGTGTGTGAGGAACTCTGACAAAGCAACGTTCAGCTGTTATCTGCGATTCTCGCCACAAACTGGCAGTGAGAATTATCTCCATGTTGCTAAGAAAACTAGATTTCAGAGCTAGATCCTGTCCGTGGACACACAGCTAGTAGTAGAGAGTTAAGCCAGAGCTGACGCTGTCTAACTTCAAAATTCACTTTATTTTCTCTACTCCAGAAGCTTTTGGGGCAGGTTTTAAGGCCTTGTGATTTTTATATGGTACATTCAGAAAAACATACAGAGCAGAAACTTAATATACGTCTAGTGAATAAAGAAATTGACTAAGAAAAAATAAGAAGGAGCTGGCAGGTGGTGTGGAGGTGAAGGGTGCTGGACTCCCACGTGGCCAACTACAGTTCGAGTCCTGGACCGGGCGACTTGCTTTCTCACTTCCTCTCTCTCTGTCCCTCTCTGGTCAAATTAAAATAAATAAATAAAATAAAATAAAGTTAAATAAAAATAATTCTTAAAAAAAAATAAAGAATGAGACTAAACTTTTCAGGAAGGTCAGCTACAGAGAAATTGTACCCTGCGTGGTGTATGTGCACTTGCCAGAGAGAGGGCATAGCACGGCCCTGCAGCTGTCACGTGGTCAGTCAGACTCCAGGCACAGAGGAACACCCCGAAACAGAGAGAAATAACACCCTCTCAAACTCAAGCGAAACTTCAAGTTCTAGTGGATTCAACGAGTGGTTCTTTTCTTTCTTTCTTTCTTTCTTTCTTTCTTTCTTTCTTTCTTTCTTTCTTTTTTTTT